TACATAGATAAATATATGTAAGTAAATACATTCAAACAGATGTTTTCAGTCGTCACCAGCATGTTTACATCTGTGTACAGAGGATTCATGACCTGCCACAAACCAGCAATTTATAGACAGGCAGCACGGGGATTTGGAACTTGTGTTGGGATTACGTCGGCCCCAAAAACCTCCCCGTTACTTCTGCAACCCGCAGCCAATTTAATCCTGGCTGTTTACAATCTCAACGCCTTACATAACACACAGATTCCAAGGCAGAGCGGCACACTATAAGCATCCAGGAGAAAATGTAGTGACCATAGCAGCGGCAGTAATTGGAAATTCTAACCATCTTACAGTAAATCTGAGTCATACCTGGTTCTAAACGTCACAAAAATCCCAGACATGACTCATCTGTGTTGGTGAATATAAGATTATTTCTCAGGGTATTACTTTGTTTTTGTGAATGCATAAAATCAAAGTGAAAGAACAACCAAGTCTTGAAACACAATTTTCTTTAACACTGTTTGTTCATTTAACCCCAGCTGATGAACACACACCAAACTGTTTGTTGTGACATTTCAAATCAACATTTGCATTTAAATTACTTTATTTCAGCATGTAATTGGGACCCTCTTCACATTTAGGCTTGATTTAGCCCAATTTTAACACACAGGCCTTTTCCACTACAGGAACTGAATGATCTGTAACTTAACATGTCGCTGTGGTCACAGTCTCTGCTTTTGTTTCCACAGCTCTAAACTCACTTTGGGGACAAGAGATTGGAACTAAATTTCAGCACTAATACTCAATTCAAGTTCCAAAAACTTTTTCGGGGAAAGAAATGCAGAAACAAGACAAACATGCCAATTAATATCGCAGAATGTGTTAAAATGCACATATATTAGGATTCGGAAGATTTAACATGCATATTTGGCTGCCTTTTTTTAGATTATTTTTAGGGCTTTTATTGCCATTATTATAGCCCAGCTGGAGGGTGACAAGACAGGGGGTAAAGAGATGAGGGATGACACGCAGCAAAAGGCCAAAGGTTGGAATTGAATCTGCGCAGTTGCGAAAGAGTCAGCTTAAATAGGGCACACGTTCTACCAGGTCAGTTAGAGGCCACCTTATAATTTACATACATTTCCCAGTTATGTAGTCTGGCTATGTTCTGAATTGTAAAATTTTCAGTGGTAAGGTATTTTTCTTCATTCTGGGATGTGATCTTCAATCACAAGTATTTTTGAGTTTTTGTGAGTATCTTTTATATTTTTCTGCCTGAAATGACACAATGTTTGTTCATTTAAATTCAATATTTCTAAATACTGTGCATCTTAGTTCTGCTCATCTTAACCACTGGACTAACTATGTGCAGTGGTGACCAGTGCAGTCTGTGGGAATACTGAATTTGCCAGTTTCATCCCAGACAAACATTTTATCCTTTTATCATTCCTTTTGATAGAGGGTTTGTGAGATCATTAACATACCTTTGCAGATACAACCACCTACTGAGATACTAACAGATAACATACAATACAGAATATATAAGGCTGTGTTGTGGCTACAAATGGGGCAAGGCTGAACCTTGCACCAAAGTCCAATAGGGTCCCACTGCAGAGCTCCAGGCTTGGGCTCACCTCTGGCGCTGGGACCCATCTGTGGGACCCATTGTGGAAAATCACGTGTGTCATCATGTGTGTTAAGGTGGAAAGTTACTTGTATTACTACGTGTGTAAAGGTGGAAAAGCATGTTTGTTACCGTGTGTGTTAAGGTGGAAAGTCGTGTGTTACTACATGTGTAAAGGTGGAAAATTATGTGTTATTGCATGTGTTAAGGGGGAAAATTCCTTGCACTAATTGGGCTTGCTTATCAAACAGTAACGTCACATGCCACTGTATCATATTACGCATTAATAAATAATACGCTGTATCACGTCCATGCCACTCTATAAGTAGGCCCATTTCAAGCTGACTAATCACATTCTGTTTAATGTTTAGGCTTCATATTATTTGTTGTGCTTATCATTAATATGTAAGTGTATTATATGTTGAGATGCCACGGTGTGTTATATGTTTAGAAGACAATCATTGGGACAATCATTGGGATACGACAGCATGGGTTCACGTAGTTTGCTAACGTTAGCAAACTCATAAAGTTAGTGCAGGTTATGTGTTGCTTACTGTTATGTTACCTAACTTAATAAGTTACTGTTATGTTACCTAACTTAATAAGTTAATGTTATATCAAAATATTAGGTTGTATTGTTTACCTTGGTGTTATTAGTAGAGGACGTGTGGCTTATTTAAACTAATGAACACATGCTACCAGATGATTGTCTCTGACAGGCATACACAGGTTCAGACTTCCTTTTCCTCTGGACTGGAATGGGTCAGACAGAGGAGATGGGCCTGAGCCTGGAGCTCTGCAGTTCAATGCTTATCCTAAAGTCTCACAGATTCTATCAGGCTCAGGTTATGGGAAGCTCCAGTTTGCAGGTCATTAAATTCCTGCAGTGGAAAAAAAGCCTTTAGACTGCTTTATCTCTTTTGGCCTGGACACCACTATGTCAAAGCACTCAATCCATTTTCCTTTAGGAAAGTGATTTACTACCTTCTGAACTGGAGGCCAAATTTTGAGCCATTCATAGATTAGCTTTTGAATATTCACTGAAAAAGAATTCATACGTAAGTGTCCCTTCAGCTGTCATCTATAGGTGCCACGCAGAAGCTCAATTTCAGCTTTTTCTTTTTGAAATCTGGAGCGCTCAGTTACTACAAAGATTTATTTCTTAAGTACAGTGTTCATCCCCTTGAGACTCACATACGGCACATTTATGCAGTTAATTTTCAGAGAGGTCAGAGGTGAACGGTTCCCTGCTGCAGGCGGAGGTTCAGCAGCACCCCCAAGGACACTGTGCCGGTAGAACACATTAACTTTCTGAGAGGATTGACCCCCTGACCGCTGGGTGATGGAGCTGTCAGTCATGAGTTTAGCTCAAAAAATATGTATAACCTGCAGCCCTGCCAACAAACAGTGTGTGAAGTGTCAGAACGAGGACACTTTTCATGAAATATGTTTTATGGAAAAGAATGAAGTTTGATACAAAAGTGAAAGCCTGTATAATTTGCTTTGTGCTCTATTAATTTATTTTATGGATGCAGGGTGTCAATATTTGCCCGAAGCCCTTTCAGAACTGTCAAACTGCTGCATGTGAAAGGATTGTTCCTCCACTGCTTCTTGACTACATTTAAATGTACTGAGACAGTATGAATAAAGACAGAGGGTGTCAAATACAAACTTTTTCACACTGCTATCCTAAACGTCTCTTACTTTTTCCCCTGTGTCTTTTAAGAGTGTTCAAAGTCGGATTCTCTCTTAACTGCACAACTTGTCATAAATTGCTCGTTTCAGCCTGATGAATCCCACCTGTTCATGAGCAGGTGCACATTTGTGTGATCATTAACATAATTGATGCTCTCAAACTGTTCCATTTGTGGGAAAGTTTAATTAACAAAAAAATGTCACTGAAGAGTAAAAAGGAGAACTTCACGCCGCAGAGCTTCAGGTCCCACTGTTGGAAGTCAGCAGACAAAAGTAGGACAAATTTAGCAGTGACAGTAGTTGTATTCAAACCATTTCCTCTTTAGTAGGAAGCGCCCATCAACTAAAATGAAAGGTGGGACTGTTGAAGTAAGGAACCTGGACAGCGACCAGCAGAAAGAGCTTTAGGAGGCCGATGGAGTGTGAGAACCTTTCTGACAACTATTGAAGTTGTCATGCCAATTAAATATTTTTTTAAAAAGTTCACGACTTATACCACAGGCCGGGACCCTTATTAAATTTTGCTCGTGGCCAAGAGAAAAATGTAAATGCAGGGATGGGTCTCTTAAATCACTTGTACTTGTCATTTAAAGGTACCCTGTCAAGGTTTTGAACACTAATGGGGTAGTGACACCAATTGTTTTATGCAATCACCACACACAAAATGCAAAGAATAAATGCCAAAAACTGAATATATCACAAATGTGTTTGTTTAGAGGAAGACTCCACAGGGCAACTTTAGAGTGAATCTGTTTGTATGTGATTCTTGTCTGACCCCCAATGTGTTGTAATTGTTACAGTAAGTAGTGTGACTGAAATAGTCCCATAACCACAATGCTGACTTTTTTTTTTTCATTTTTAATGGATTCCAACTGCAATTGTATTGAACTTGTGCTGAAGGAATCATATAACTGTTTTATAGTTATCAAATGGCTAAAAGCAAATATCACACCTTCACTCATAAAGTGCACTATATAGAGAACAGACAGAGCAACAGCTGGTTTGGCTGTTGTCAGGCCATTAAATAGGCATTATCAGTGGTTATAAGCTTCATACATAGATATAGGTCAAAAGGGGCGTGACACAACTACTATGAGGTTTAAAAGGTCATTACCAGGCCATTAAATAGCTGTTTATGTTTACTGTTCGGCGCCAACCTGTCGTGGCAATAATAATTACAACAGGAGCAAAGAAGGAAGTCAAGCAACATAGGATAAAAAGCAAGGAAGTTTGTGGAGGGGCAGGTGGTGGATGGGTCAAACAAACACAATTAAACAGAGATGTTGTTGGCGTACCAGGATATCTTTTTCTAAACCTAACCATGTAGTGAAAATTGAAAGTAAAACCTAACAAAAGTGCAAACACTTCACAATTTCATATATGCAAACAGCAATTCAATGGCCTAATAACAGCCTTTGAACCCAAAGGACCCCAAAGAACCCCATAATAGGTGTCGCATGCCCCTTCTAACCCATATCTATGGGGTTGTTTGTCATTTGATGGACTGATAACATCCAAATCAGATCTTCATGCTTTTAGGAGATAACCAGACTTTGGCTCTTGTTAGGGCTCATCCTGAAACTAAATTGAAAAATGAAAGCCATCACAAAGCTGAGGACTGAAGAAGCACGTTGTCATTCAAACAGTTTTTCATTGCACTCCAGTTTTCACCATCATGAACAACACAGCTGAAAAATGAGCAGACATGTAGTTTTAATAATAACTCTCAACACTAGTTTTCACATTCAGCGTCATAAATGGGGCATGGCCCGGACACAACCGGTTTAAAAGGGCTATGTGTAGTATTTTGTGTTTGTCAGACAGTCTGCTGTCCAATGGCAGATCATGCTTGTTCCTTGTTCCCTGTTTCCCCACCTCTAAATCATTCTGTGTTTGTTCTGAAGAACCAGGGGAAGGATGAGAGACAATAATAGATAAAGACTGTAGACCCACAATAAAATACCTCTAAGCACAGTTCTTCTAATGCCACAAGATGCTGTTTGAAAAAGAAAACTTTGGGCTACCTCCTCACCTCTCAAAGATTTTTAAGAAAAAGTGACACATTCCTGTGGTTTACTACCCATATTTGTATCTCCTTTGTGATTTTAACAAAGTTAAATAATTAATTTCTCAGCAATTAAACAGCAGCCCCCATTAAGTTTCCCTGCATGCAGAACACTTCTTGGCAATTGTTGGTATCTCTCTTATTCAAGATATCCACCAATGCTTTCTTTAAATGTCATCATTCTTTTTAGTTGTAATCTTCACAGTCTAAAATATACCTAAGAAATAAATATAACATATTCCTTCTGTTGTCAGCTCAGTTCAGTACCCTCAGCTGTTTTGCTGTGACAGCATCACTTAGTCTATTATGACTAGTAGCTGATAGTAGCTAATGTTAGCAACTTTTATAGATATTCCTGTGACACTGACATTATAACGGTACTCTAGTTGTGCTACTGTTACGCTACTCTTCAGTATACACCATTATTTCGTAATTGCCATTTTAGGCCATAGGGGCCTATTAATTTATCAAAATTAATACAGATGTTAAATACTACACATAGCACCTTAAATATCCTGGTCAACACCTGCTTTCCACAAAAATTCTTAATCCACGAAGTCAAAGATCTCACAGTCTGTTTTTATATTGATTTTCATTTAACATGTTAATAAATTTCACTGCCTCCATCTCTTCTCGTCAAGTTACTATTCTTCTTCAAACAGAAAACAAGGGCTGCTGTGCTTTTGTGTTCAGTGGCAGAACCTGTGGCCAGTTCAGACCTAAAGTAGCAGTTCGCCCCATTATCCCACATAACCCTCACTTTCCCATTGATGGCTCAGCACTGCTCCTCCCCCAGTGAGTCTGTGTTCTCCCCCAGGTCTATAGAGGCTGACGTAGCTCTCATCTTGCCTCGTCCAGGACCGGGACCTGGCCCTGGTCCTGGACCTGGACCCGGGCCCCCTACGACGAGCCCAGCTCTGGTCCCACCGTGGCCAGGGTAGACCTCAACAGTGCTGGAGATAGACTGGAGGGATCGGTCCCGGAAGTAGTGGAAAGCTTCCTGGTCCAGGTAGTTCTGCTCCTCGCGCAGGCCCTGCTCAAACAGCTTGCGTTTGTGTCTGAACTCGATCACTGTCTTGGTGTAGGAGTTGAGGGTGGTGACGGAGGCAGCCATGCAGCAAGTGAAGGAACCCCAGGCCATGCTGGTTGATACATGAAGGGAAGAAGAAATAGTGAATCTTTCTGCTCATAACAGTAGCTATATTCTAACCATGCTAGTGGTGTGGCTCTGTTGATAGCTGTTGGTTGGTCTATCATGTTGGTCCAAACTGAAATATCTTGGCAACTCCTGGTTAGATTGCCTCCAGCGCCACCACAAGGTTGACATTTGTGGTTTGCCATGAAATTTGGGAAAGATATTCATGTTCCCCTCAGGCTGAACTGTAACACACAAAGTACTGTGTGACTAATGCTCATTTGTAGCGAATTTAGCATGCTAACATGCTAAACACCGGTGAACATATGAAACATCCTGTCTTCTCAATAGTATCCTTGGCCCACCTCTGACAATATAGCCTCACAGATCCAATAGAATGGCTGTAAAGTTAAGCTGCTAACTAATAATCAATACTTAATTATTTTATATAAAAAACAAACAAACCAACAAACAAATCCATAACATTCCAAAGCCCTGCTGGATACTTCTAAGGGCTACAAAGATTTAGCTCTTTTAACTTCAGAAGTTATTTTGAGGGTGGTGCTGCCTGATTTTGATATTTGTTGTGTATGAGTGTATATTCTGGCCCGATGGTGGAGCTAGAGAAAACGTCAGGGGTTACTAAAATCATTAGAAAAAAATCAAGTTCCACAGAAAAATGAAACACAATGCTATCTTTTTTTCAATAAATTGGTTTAATGCCAGTGTTTCCTTTTCAGCGCAAGTTTGTTTTAGTTGCCAAATTTTACTTTCAATGCCAAAATTTACTGTCACTGTCCTGGCTCCATAGCTAGCTGCATTTATAAAAATTAGAAAGAGAAAAATGTTGGATAAGATACACAGCTATATAAGTTATCGTAATTTAACTGGTTTATGATTGGATATTCACATAAACATCCATGGCAATCTGGCCAGTAATTGTTAAGATATTTGGAGTAAGTGTAAGATAAGGATGGATAGAGGACAGAATGACCGACATTGGTGAGATACTCTGAGAGGGAATGATGAGAAGAAAACCACTCAGAGAAACATCTGTGGTGATTCAGCTTATTCTCTGACCTCTTCAGCCTCGGCCTCTGCTCCAGTTAATGTTAGCTAGCACATAACTGATGTGCTGCTAATTGAGAGAGTGTCTCAGCTCTGAAGGGAATAGGTGTGATATTAGCTTGTTAATAGGGAAGCTGACAGTCTCTCAGTGCAGAGTCAAAATTTTGTACACCAAAAACAATGTCAGGCAGGGATCTGTAAACATGCTGAACAAGTAAAACATGCAAAGAGACAAGAACAAAAAGAAGCAAAGTGACAGATGCAATGCATCAGTCTTTATCTCAAAAAGCAGAAATCCAAACTATGATGTATTATGTGATATTACATTATTTAATGTAAGTCCGTTTTTTTTCTCTTCTGTTAATAATTTAAACACTGTTGTCTCTCAGAAGAAGCTCAAAGTGTTCAAACACAATAAACAGAATATATTCACAATAATAAATCACAAGGTACCAACACAACATTTCATAGATGAACATCAGTCAATGACCAAAGACCAAACTATTGTTTCAAAAGTGCACAGACTTCCTTTTCAGAGTTGAACATGATGTAGTTAACTAATTATCCATCTATTATATAATTTCTGTAAATGAGGCTAAGCTTAGTTTCCAGAGAGCTTTAAACAGAACATGTGACATTGACCATCACATCGTCCTCAGAATAGAGCTCATTCACACTTGTTATTCGTCCTTAAGGAGCTTTTTGGCCTCCTGTACTGGTAGATATTCATCATTCCTGCTGAATTTATTCATCTTTAACGATGTTAAATGACTCCCCCGTGGTGTTGAATGAGCAGCCTTCACTTGAATGACTGACAGAGAAAATATCCTTTTAAAAGGCTCTTGTTCCATTTCAATTTCACTCATTCTGTTGTCATGTTTTATTCTTATTTTCTTATCTTAAAATCCTTGTTTCTGACTTTCTATAGTTTTCTGTCTTTTATTGCTTGGGATTTGTATTCTACGCATAATGCTGGTTTTGGTAACCTCTATATAGCCTATAGAGTTACCAGTGGTAGAAAAGTATTATGTACCAATGCCACACTGTGAAAATACACCAGTACAAGTAAAAGTCCTGCATTCAAAACATTTCTTAAGTAAAAGTATCCATCAGCAAAATGTAATATATTTGTTGTGCTGTAAAATGTTCACTGTCAGTGTTTTACTATTATATCTGATGTTTTTGGATTTATATTACTGCTGCATTAATGTGTATGTTGCTTTTCATTGCTGCAGATGTTTAGGCTTGTGCTAATTTTAATTCCTTTATATACTGTTGGATAGTTTCATCTACAGCAATGCATCATATTCTATCAGATCAGCATATATTTGTAGCGTAGCTGTCCTGTGAGAACCATGTATCTCTAAAAAGTCAACTTTTCATGGTGTCAGAAAAACAGCCCTGTTTTCAGCTTTGAGATGATGCATTTTCCAGCTGATCCAAGAGGGTTTTTAAAGAGTTTATTTAGCTTAAAAAGTACAACAATTTTCTCAACACACAAAGGAATGCTTCATCCTTCAGTTTATCGTAAACATTCGACAGCATGTCTGGAGATACATGGTTTTCACTGGACAGCTAGGGGATGGAGAAGTGTAATCTACAGAGTCACTTTGAAATTTGTAGTTCAGATTTGGAGCCAGCGTGAATGAGAAGCCCTGACAGTGCTCAGTGCTCTTCTCTGAGATTCTCCATGCTTGATCCATTAATGAGCAAAGTGAGCTCAGACAGCAGCTGCAGCTCAGCTTTACCTTCGAACAGAGAGTAGTGGAGGTCAAGGTGCATCTTGTCTGGCTAATTATCCCAGAAACAACAACTGTGTCGCTCCCTGTGTAACTCAACACACTGCGACAGCACACGCCCCCAGCAACATCCTGTAGAGATGATTTATAATTGCATAAACGGAGGGACGATGAGTGTTTGTTCAACTCTCTGTTTATCTGCGTCATGAGTGTGTCAATGGATAATTATGTGTTCTGTCATTTTAAAACAAGTGACGCAGTCTTGATTAATTACTCAGGGGGCCTTTCAACACAACAAGTTTGATTAAAAATAGGGCCATGTTTGTGTGTGTGTGTGTGTGTGTGTGTGTGTGTGTGTGTGTGTGTGTGTGTGTGCGTGTGTGCAGACTGACCAGAAGGACCAGCCGTAGTCCCAGCTGTGAGGCCTCCAGTCTTCAGGACCCAGACTGACTGTGATCTGGAACACCTGAGTGTACATCATGTGGGCCACCATACCCAGAAGACCTGCAACACACATACACACACACACACACACACACACACACACACACAGTAACATTTTCTGCGTTAAACACAATCCCATACAGGCACAAATAAACTATTAAACTATTAATAATTATTATTATATTCTGTGCATAAATGAAGCAGACTCATGTAGCCCCGTTGGATATGCTCAAAGATTTTGGTGGTGCAGTGGTTAGCACTGATGCCTCGCAGAGTTTTCTGGGTTCAATTCAGCCAACCAGCTGGGGCCGTTCTGTGTGGAGTTTGCATGTTCTCTCTGGTTTAGAGGGGGTTTTCTCCGGGTTCTCCAGCCTTCCCCTACAGTACATTTGCTTAATTGGTGACTAAATTGCCCACAAGTGTGAATGTGAGCATGAATGGTCTGTCTCTATGTGTCAACCTAATGAAAGTCTGGCAACCTGTCCAGGGTGTACCCCGCCTCCAGCCCCCCCTCTATCAGGATAAGTGGTGCATAAATTAAATCCCCCCTTTTGCCAGGAAGTGGCTTTGTAAACGTATTTCTGTCCAGGGGAGATGTGTAGGCACTTGTACTGTATAGTGGTTAGCAAACAGCTTGGTCTGCAAATCTCAACTTCTAGAGATTTAATTGCCACAGAACTTGTTTTGAATATTCAAGGTCCCAAGGTGATGGTCCTGACTTTTCCTCTAGCTTCACTGTAAGGTCAAAATTATCCCTTTACTGTGGCAAGGTATCTCAAAAACTAATAACTGAATTCCCATAACTGGTGCTGTAAGGTACAGTAATTTATTTTTCAAAGTGTTACGCACCAAAAGGTGCTCAGCCCACATGGGCTTACACAACAGTACAAACACCAAAAAAACGAGAGCAATAACATATTGAGAGCGAAAGAACAAATGTAATACACCTCCATGCGTGTCAGACAAAGTCAAACAATGTCAAAGCAGGTATAAACACAACCTTGCTCCTTAGACATTACAGCTTCAAAAAATAATTTAGGCACATCTGAGTCACTGCCTTTAACACATCAAACATAAAGCGCCCTCTAAGCTGTTGGTAGGCACAGACACAAATTGAGCTGTGAAATACTTTGTCTGTAAAAAGGTACTGAAGTCAACATTCATCAGACACACAAAATAAATCAGGCCATTGTGCAGACATTTTAAGGAAAAGCTTGCATGTAAGACTGTAATATAATAGACAAAGAACAAAAAGTGCATTTCGTTTTAAACCTCCCCCAGATACCACATGTCAGCTAGGCACTGACAGACCTCTGTGCTCTGGTCAGGTTAAGGGCGACATAGTGCTCTGAATGGTATGCTTAATCAGACTGTATGTTCTCAGTTTTGATTTACACAGAACTTCTTCCTCTCTTCTTCTTAAATCCCACAAGGAAATTTGCTTGGTAAGTCTGTTATTGGGCATATTGATTAATCTTTTCCACAGTCACAACAAGTCCCCCTTGTGCCACACTTCCCATGGTTCCCATCCCATGTCACCACATACTGTACTGCAAGCTTAGAGGCTATTTTATGCACATCCAGGAAACAGTGCATAACTCTATGCTGAACTGCATAACATTTAGTTTGCCTATAATAAACTGGGACCGGTGCACCATAATCTAAAATAGGACAGACACAAGATTTATACAACTGTGAATAGGTTTTATAACCAAGATCCCTGCATAGCTTAACCTTATTAAGGAAAGCTCCCAGTGCCCAACCTGCACAGTCTGATAAGACTTTTATTCCTTCTCTAAAAGTAAGATGCTTATCCAGAGTATGTCCTAAGTATTTGTAATAGCCGGTGTATGAAATAAGTGTTGGGCCACAATGAAATTTAAACTCAGTCTGTAACTCTCCATTCTTCCTGAAATGCATGTTTACTACAACAACAGTACACAATATTCAACAAACTCTGAAGATTATTTTCAGTCTCTGAGAGGAGGACTATATCATCCAAGAAAAAAAAGAGTGGCAACCATAAAGTCACTTGATCTGCCACAAATAGCTGCTTGCCTAATTTCTAGTACTAGATCTTTTATATAGCTGACAAACAGTGTGGGAGAGAGCACCTCCCCCTGTGGTACACCAAATGAGGTTAGGAACCAACCTTGACTGACTTGCACACATGCAACTGGGGTTTGTTAAAGTGCTTTTGAGGTGTTATAAAATGTACCATCTACACTGGATTTTAGTAATTTGAAATGGAAAAAGTATCTGCACACTTGGAGTTTGTGTTTGACACATGGTTTTCTGGCACCTTGGCATATTCTTGTCGTGAGTGTGGTGATTTGCTCCTAGTAATTTGAAATGGAAAAGGTCATGGTTTATATAGTCAAAAACTTTCAAAAAATGTATGAATAGGAATGCACTGATTTATCAGCCACACGTCGGTAATGGCCAATATTTGCCTTGTTGACTGTCATCGGCCTATTGGCAAATAATATCCCAAATAATACCCCTTTCACACCAAAATTAGTCAGTGTACGCAGGTTTTTTACACACAGGAAAACCTGCTAAAATAGGCTATAAACTCCTTCCCATTTTTACTGCTGTGTCACATTCGACGTCATGGGCAGGCTGGAAAACAGGTTAGTAAACAGTGGAAAGCAGCATGGAGGCCAGTGAAAATGTTATTGTGGTGACTGCTTTTTATATCTCTTACAATATATTTAGTCTCTCTTTCAAACTCGTAGCAGTGTCATGATAACGTTTGTTTTGGTGTTTGGTTTTGTGTTTGGGATGTTCTGTGTTTTTTCTTTTCCCTTTCCCCCTCCCTTTTCTCTCCCTGGCAGTGTGTGTGCAGCTGAGGGTGTGGCTGGCTGGCTCTTCATAATGAGGCACACCTGGTGTTCATTCAGTAATCACTCCTGCAATAAAAGCCTGGTCAAGACTCCACTCCTGTGCCAGATTATCCCGTCTCAGTCGGTAACGTAGTGGCTCCAGTCGTTTGTGAAAAAGTGAATTTTGTGTTTTTTCGTCACTCTTAAGCGTTCTTTGTTTTTTGTGCAGCCGCTGGTGTGCCTCCTGCCATACCTGATTGCAGCTTCCAGTGCTTCAGTGTCTCCATTTCCAGCAACGCCAGCCAGCCCTCCGCTGCCTCCATTTGCTCCTTTTTCTGATTTTTTGAACTTAGTGTTTTTTCAATAAACACTGTGGACTGTTTTTTGCTTCTGTCTCTGCATTTGGGGTCCAAACACAAAACCTAAACATAACAAGCAGACTACATTTGGAACGATATTTGCTCTGATGGAGATGGACAGTATTATGTGGTGGCTCAACAGGGATGAATTAGCATGTTCACCCAGGTGCTGTATTTCCGTCACTGCTGATCGGAGCTACCTGTGACTACTACAGAGTGATTTGAACCCAGTGTGAATGCTGATTGAAACCTTTCCCATTACAAACAAAAGCTAGATGTTTGCAAGTAGTGTTTTTTTGTGAAGTGTGAAAGAGGTTTCAGATGGCATTCACAAATGGCAGTGGCTGATTTTCCATTGTGTCATCAATTTTGCGCAGACTAAAAATCAGCGCTTGAGAAAACATGTTTGGGATGAGCAAAGATCTTCCCTGGGATGCTATTGGGAGGAAAGAATGCACTAAACTCAGATGATGCACCCTATTGTCTCCCTGGTAATGCTACTTTGTGAACAACAAATCTGTGTTGACAACAGGAGGAAAGCTCGTTAACGTTGCTGTAGGCAGCCAGTGACTGGAACTAACTGCTGACTGAGGTTGCGTTTAGTTACATTATGATGTGTTCAAGCTCTATTCAGTAAAAATGAGTATTGGATGAAGGCAAATTCTTAAGTTCTCATGATGAGTTCAAATGTAATCTTCTAAAATGTAGTTTTTGGCAAGAAACTTGAATAAATACAGCTGTTTGAAGGAACAATTTGTTCATGTTTTCACAGCAATATAAAATAAATATTAGAGAGTAAACTGTGATATATATATATGTATATATATACATATATATAAAGTAAATAGGCCTTTGAAGCAGTTATTTTTTAAAATGTTTTTTTTTTTCACATGAAAGGTTATTTCTAAAGGTTGTTGCATAAATGTGCATGATTGAATTTGTGCTCATCTAAAGGTAGTGTAATGAAGGGCTGAATGTCATTTATTTCAGTTACCTTTTTTATCTTTGTTTCCTTGGCACAAATTATGGAATAAATAACAACAAAAACAAAAATGAACAACAATAAAAACAACAAAAACATCAGTATCAGTATCAGCTATCCGCCACACAATCACGCAGTCACAATCGGTGCATCTCTATCTATGAAACAACTAAAAGCAAGCCTCCCTTCTTGAATTCTGGCATGAGAGATAAAATGTTTTCAAATAACAATGCAATTGTTCATTAAAAGTACTAGAATAGAGTCTATAAATACAACTGAAAACAACAACACATAACTGTGTGACTTGCTGCAAACACTCACACTCCCTGGAAGATGAATGACCCATAGCGCCACCATCAGGGCAACTCTACACTTTAAACCCCACTAAGCTCAAGGCAGCAGCATCCTCAGTATGTTTCCTTGCTCTTACATAACAACAGTAACCCCCAGCACAAGATAATTTGCCAGGATAATTACCATTAACAAAACAACAGTAAATCACTTCACCTCTAAGTTGCAGCTCAACATATCATCAGTAATAAATCAGAATACGTGTAACTATAATCATTAGTCATTATACAGCACCAATTGATCTAATGTGAGACACCCAATCAATTAGAGATAGGGACACAATCACTCATAAACATACAGTAAATCAAAAAAGCCACTATGTAAATGAGTAAATGAGAGAGAATGACATTATGTGTGTGTGTGTGTGTGTGTGTGTGTGTGTGTGTGTGTGTGTCACGTGGATGTGTGTAAAGGGTTAGAGCCACGTGTCTGTGTTTGTAATCAGTGTGTGTGTGTGTGTGTGTGTGTGTGTGTGTGTGTGTGTGCAGCATCCTGCCAAGGTAAATAAAACTCAGCTGCTCCAGATTTACAGTTCACCATAAAAAGAACAACATTTCTCCGCGACCTTGACATTCTGACGACAGACATTTCTAGGAAATGTATGTGTGTGTGTGTGTGTGTGTGTCACATGCCAGCAATTGCACAGGGTCCTTCATCTGCTTTACTGTGTTTGTTACATTTGTCAGCAATATAGCTTTAGTCAGCAATATAGCAGAAACCACCTACCGGTAATAGTAATTGACAATCAGTGGACTTAACAGGCCTTTTTTCCAACAAAAATGTAACATATTTATGAATCCATGAATGTTTAGCTCATATCAGTGAATAGAGTGATGCTTTAAAACACTCTACATATATATATATATATATATTGTATTATATTTGTCATTACTGCTCAAAATATATAAAATATATAATAAATTTCTGAAGTATTTCCAGAAAACATTATGCTGTAAACCCCCTTACATAAATTTTCTGTTCTAGTAATAGGATGCATTATAAGCTGATTGTATCATTAGAAAATCTAATCAGAACAGTATTTTCCTATTCATTTTTCTGGTGACACTCAGACCCAATGTATATCCCAATGGATGTTTTTGAAAAAATCCTGAGTAAAAGCAGTAAAGTATTGTATAAGTAGTATTATAATATCTCATGTTTACTTTAAACACAGTTTAAACAAATTATGTACTTTAACATTGTAATTAATAGACTAAAACGTGCCTGTACTTCCTCTTTGCCTCGCAGTTGGCCACGCTTATTAAAAAGGAGGACATGGCTCCACTGTAGTCCACTTTAGATGATGTGTAACACTGTGACTGGCTTATAGACGTCCCATTAAATAAGTCTGTGCATTAAGGTGGAGTCAGATCACAGCAATCACAGATCTAGACATCCTAGAAAAGTTCTGTTCATTGGAATGGAGAGAGGATCTGAACTGGTTCATACAGACAACAGTGCCATGACCTATTCTGGTGTACACTGTTTATACCACACTTGCTGTCTCGCTGCTATTGACCATGTCACTGTCACTCAGTTTGTAATTTCTGTTTGTAATTGTTCTGATAGAATGTTTTACTTTCTGTAATTATCTGTACTTATTACTGTCCTTGTGCCACTGCAACAAGTGAGTTTCCCCGCTGGGATTCATTAAAGGATATCTTTATTTCTGTCTGATTCCTAATCAGAGAAACTGGTAACTTTTGAAGATTACCTCCTCTATATTACATCACATTGGTTTGAACAAAACCTGGTAGGACTGTGACTGACAACACGACATAATTAGGCTACAGTTGTAATTATTTTGGTTGTAATAATAATTTCTGGTCTGTATTTATTGTTCATTGTTAGAAGTGGAATCCACCATTCTTACCTGCACACAGGGTGTTGACAGGAAACGATGCAGCTGTTATTGTTCGCATTGTGATCTCACTGATATCAGACTCACTCTCCTGCAGCTATATCAGAGCTGGATTAAGCTAATGCTAATGCTAACCCAACATTTTCTGATACTACTGTTTTACATTATAAGCGTCCAGCTAGTGAAACATGGGGAACTTTTATGTCGAAGAAGCATGCTGTTTCCTGTACATTTTATCTGCGGATCTTTTTTAATATTTGCAAGGGAGGAGATGAGAACCTGGGATGATGGGAAACAGATAATTATTGCCTCTCCTCTTCATTTAAACGAGGCAATCCAATAAATGCAGTAAGCCCAATTTGTTTGGCTGCTTTGTGAACAGATTGTCATGTTGTAAACATTATAACTGTATAATGTCACTGAAGCAATGAAGAATAAGGAGCACATATTTGTCCACTTCTGGAAAATAAAATAAGTCATAGATGTTTATAGAACTGTATGTAATTTAAGCCTGTCGAAATTAGTTTTTAGATACATGCATGAGGATTCTTTTTAATTGCTTATAATGAGCAAATCTTTCCTTTCAAACATCAAATGCTGTATTGTCGCTTAGAATTCTAGTCCTCATCCTGTTTCGGTAATAAAGGCTGGACCCCCCACGCTGCCATGATATTGATTTTCCAAACGTTGATTAAAATTTTTCTGATGAATGATATTAGCATCTCATGTCATGAAGAACTGTGATTCAGATCAAATCTATCACCTGTGGTGTAACGGGTAAAGTATAGGAATTATGATCAGAGCCTCAAGGGTTAGTGGTGAACCATGCTGTAAAATGCATCAGTGGTCAGTTGAAGACATCCTCAGAGATGCCTGAGGAGGAGGAGAGCAGCGTGCAAACAGAGCCAACTTCTTGCGTAAGAGGTTTAACATGAGTTGGGAGAAAAATCCTACAATCCTACATAGCGAAGGCTTCCAGGGGATAACCTCTGACCCTGGACGGCCTCTCACAAATCTGCCTCAGTCTCCCTCCTTATCCTCAGGGCACTTCTGAATGTCTCCACTGAGAAGGTAAATAGTCCTAAAAGGTTTTGTTTGTCCTGTCAGGCATCCCATCTTACCGGACAGCACGGTAAAGACGGCGGCAAAGGCATTGAGTTTGAGTCCATCGATGACGTTGCTGGAGTGGAAAAGCTCGAGACACATCAGACTGAAGCCGACCACCAGCAGCAGGATGTAGAGCACCTCCGACACCACTGACAACCACAACACACCTGCAAACACATACAACTCTGTTATACACAGATGTTCTTTAGAAATAAGAACATCAAAGCATGAAGCACACCCCTGTCTTGCTTGTACAAGTAGGTTTTTCTATCGCAGATATCTAAAGAGCATTACGACTGAAATAACTGTGAACTTGTATTTTTCTTCACTGTACTATAATACAGTCCTGTACTGCAAGAACAACAGTGCTCCTTTAATTCCAAGTCTTCAACGCAGATCTACTGGTGAGGATGATGACTTTAATAACTTTTAAATGTTAATGTTAATGTGTTCTCATCCCTACTTGTCATATTTTACCACTAGGGCAGAAGACCGTTACTATAATAATGCTGGGGACAGCCCTTTTTGTTGTTTCTTGAAGCAGAAGAGGTCTGCGCTTAGGTTTAGACAACAAAACAACTTCATGAAGAAAAGACTGCGGATGTTGCTAAAACAGCAGCTGGCTTTGAGTGTCACAAACGTAGCTGGAAAGGCAGCGGTGTGTTGCTAAAAAACACCTGGCTACAACTGGCACAACTTGACCTTGACATTCTGACGACAGAGATTTCTAGGAAATGTGTGTGTGTGTGTGTGTGTGTGTGTGTGTGTGTGTGTGTGTGTCACATGCCAACAAGTGCACAAGGTCGTTCATCTGCTTTACTGTGTTAGTTACATTTGTCAGCGATATAGCTTTAATCTCCACTGTGTATATCCAAACCACATGAGGCTATAGAGAACTGTTTGATGTTATCCCTTTTTGTGGTCATGAGTATATTATACCACATTATATTTGTATGTTTTACTAAATTAAATACTATATTATATTTCTCTTATAATAACCCAATTGTGTTCCAAACTCAAAAACAAGTGTAATGGTTAATTTCTACACTAAGTGTACTCATAAATCATAAGTAAAACAATTTTTGATTAGCATACCTTATTATGTGTTATTCTTAATGCAGAAACCACCAAATAGTAATTGACAATCAATGGTCTTAACAGTCTTATGGTCTTAAAAATGTGACATATTTATTTTTCATGAATGTTTAGCTCATATCAGTGAATAGAGTGAACACTCTGCATATATATATTCTGTAATATATTTGTCATTACTACTCAAAATATCCCCAATTTCAAGCTGGAAAGACAGTGGCATCTTGCTAAAAAAAAAAAAAAACACCCAGCCTTGATTGGCACAAACGCTGTGACCGATGTTTGTGTTTGTTTGTCTAGGACACGAGTCTTTTGGATCAAAGTCTAGTGTTTGTTGGACCTATCCCCCACCCTTACCACCTTCCCTAAGTGGACTTTCACACTGTTAAAACAATGTCTGTTGCTCTGAGCATCTAATAATAACACAAATGGGTATACACTGGAGTTGGTGGAAAGCTTGGTGCATCTCACACTACCAAAGCGGCGTATTTTGATGCCCCGGGAGAGGGACAAGGCTGAGATTGAGGTTTCTTTATTGGTTCCAACGTGAGAAATTTGTCTTGGATTTAGAGATTGCTGCATTGGAACAAATCATCACAACAAAATACATACAGACACTTAAATATTAAAAAAGAACACACTGTCAAACATTAGCCTGAGAATACACAGCCATTGTCACAAAGCCATTCACTCTGTTAAGAACAACATAAATTTAAAGGCATATATCTCAAAACATACACACCTTAGTACATAAGGTACAAGGAAACCAACACGTCTCACTTTACATGTTTACAAGATCGGTAAAAACCTGCAGTTATCTGTCTCCTGACCCTTCTGTCAATCCTCCAGGAGTTCCCATTGATCGGTTTAATTGACAGAGGGACAAATGATTGTAACGATAACAATCAGCTTAATTAGCTAGCCAGCTACAGCTGATCAAATCCACAAATCATTGGGTGCTGATCAGACACGAGAAGCTGCTTTTGTTTAGGTTTGTGTGGATACAAAGACTTATCATAGGTAAAGATTTTGAGTGGTAAGTCATCATTGTAAACTACATATGTGCTGTACATGAATGGAAAGCTTGACAAATGTAATAACATTAAGCAGTGATGATGGTTTATTTGTTGTTTTTGAGTTTTTTTCCCACTGGAGGAATAAATGTTGGGCATCTGTATATTTTGGGACATGAATATGGTCAAATAGAGGCTAAAAAATTAATTAATCACTTAATTTTTCTCTTAATCGAATAAATGTCCAGAATAACAACAATTATTTCATGCACTTGGATACAGCTCTTTTGGTTTTAAACAACATTATTATGCCTATTACTGAAATTTTTAAAATTATTTTCCCATTCTATGTATCTGATCATTTTGTGATCATTACAGGGATAATCACAGTGTAAATTTGTAAATTTAAAAAAATGGCTCACTTAAAAATGAACATGTTCTTAAGTGAAAATCTTAAGAAGGATTCTGTTTGGAGCAGGCGTTGTCTTTCAGATGACATACAAAGACTGGGGTTGGTGCCAGAAGAAGAAATACATCAAACTGAATGCAGCAGTGACTTGTGGGATAGCGCTCCTCTTATTCTGACTATATTTTCCCCCTTTATGCTTCATATCGCTCTCTCAAACATGCAGACTGATACAGAAGTTCACGGAAAGAAACGCAAAGTTGTGTTGAAAGAGCTCCTGGACTCTGGAGGTCAGGGTTTAGACTTGTCAAACATCTGAAGCTTTTCCGCTCTGCGCTCAGGGAAGAAAACCACTGAGACCATGCTGAAGAACCACGTGGAAATATCTGTCTGTGCCGATGATTTCAGACAGAGACAGGATTCAGAGGGCTCATAGTTTAGACTGAAGGAGGTCATTTGTCAAATTACGGAAAACACAATATGTTCAGAAGAAACTGGCTCACCTGCAGCTCAGCAGTGTGTCAAAGTGAATATAAAGTGATATAAATACTGTAGAAACAGGAATAAAAACTCCTTTAATCATTTAACAAAACATGACAAACTTCTCAATGCATCAGTGTGCAGTGAGGTCTCATCAGGACCTCTAAACCTAAAAACATAATGTAAAATTAGGAGAAAGTTCAGTGTTTTTTGCCTGAGATCAGAGAATATCCAATCAAAGAATCTGACCCGCCGTCCAGTGCTAACATTTTTTTTTGATACTCACATTTGCAGTCTTTTATTTCAGGATCAAACAGCTAAAACCAGAGTTATAATTGGGCCGAATCTCACCAGTACAGAGTACCTGTGGCATATGTTACGTCACATATGTCACGTTAGTAACAAACCTATGTATTTCAACTCAAACCTTAATCTCTCTTTTTTTTTAAACATAACCAAGTAGTTTTGGTGCAACTGTTCACAACGTTAACCACTTTTGAGACTCTCCTGCCACCTTTCAGAGTACTCATTCAACACTTCTTTGGATTGCAGAGGGTACAAATGACTTTTTGGTAATGTGGTTTGGAGGATTAGTTGGATCATTTTACTGCACAGTTCTTACTTTTACTTTACGTACAGTGTGTCTGATTTAGGAGCATCGTTTGGCAGAAATTGAATATGATATTCATAATAAAGTTTTCTCTTTTATGTAGTAATCTGAAAATAAGAATCACTGGGTCTCATTCATGAAATGTGAGCAGAAGGAATTTGTGTGTGAACTGTTTGCAGATGGAAATTTACATGCATGTCCACATTCATCAATATTTTAGTAGCTCCGATCTTTTCGTAGCTACTAACAAAATCTACTCCTGCTCCTGACCACTCATAGTGCTTGTGTAAATTTAGTAAGGCACATAAATATTGCTTGTCACTATTGGAAATTACAATTTTAATTCGTATTGCGCTCTGTTATGTACACAATACACAGATGCCGTTGAAACACGTAATCTAAATATGACAAAAATATTAAAAATATAACACATTTAGTTAAATTATTTGGCAATTAGCAGGTTTAAGATCCAGATTAGGTTCATGATTGTGAATTATCTATGTAAATCGACTCAATAGATTACACGTTCTTTCTACATGTTGAATGATGATAATAAAAATATCCGTAAGGACGACAGCCGGATCACAGCCTCTTTGGCCTCGGTGCCTGGGTTCAGCAGGGGCAGCTGAAAGAATTATTTGAGACAACACGTTTGTTTTTTTTTGTGTGACTTTTTGATCATTTGAATGAATAAATCTGATTTGAAAAATGTTTCATTTACGTTGTATAAAACAGGCTATTAAGATTCAAATAATTTGAAGACGATGCACACAAACTGCTGTAGGCTATATGTTATAGGTATCATTTGTTAAAATAAATGTTAAATAGCTCTACATTCCGACAGCCATCACTGATTTTGAGTTTATCCATTATGCACAAAACATCTCTGGTTTCCCGTTCCCACTTCATCCAAAACCCCACAAATGAATCTTCTGTTTGTTTGATGACCGCTGTATTTTATTTGTGTGTGCTTATGCGTTTCTTTGCCTCCAGTTTCATATCAAACCATTTACGCTTCACCTCTGGTTCTTTGTACGACGGAGACAACATTAACAGCATCTGTTACCTTCCTCCAGGCCTTCGCTTTGCCTGTCACACCACTACTAACTGAAGAAAATAAAATGTTTTTCCTTAAGTCCACTTCACCCAAAATTATTTCAATCTCCTCTTCGGAAAAATTATTTTTTCTTTCTCTCTCTTTCTTTGTTTGCGCCATGACTGACAGGTCGACTGGATGCACCTACACCTCCTTATATGGTGGTCAATGGCTATTCATGGGCGGGGATTTATGCTAATTGCTGATTACCGGGAGCGCGCTGTCACTTTACGATGGATTGGCATTCATGATCATACACACATGTTTACGATCAAATCTGAGTTTCCCGCGACGTTCCAGAATCCGGAGTAGGTTTTTAGTAGCGTAGGCTTTTATGTGCATATCTACACACAGATTTACTCACTTTTCATGAATGAGACCCATTGTGTTTTTGTCAACTTCGAAAGAGCTGTTGATACAGAGCAGGTCCTCCTCCATGGAGTCTGCCATGTTGTCCTAAAGTGGCTAAA